ATGGTGTGATCACACCTTTGCTGTTCTCTCAAGCTCGTGGTGACCACTCTTCAGCCACAGCCAGGGGGCACCACACAAGATGTTCAGAGACCTCACGGATCCAGATAGGTCATCCCACTTTGTGCCTCTACATTTCCCCTACATCTTTTTGTTCTCCTGTTTACAGTACTGCTTACAAGGACGCTGTGGATTGCTCTCATGTGTTTCACTTTTTCACCTCGACTATTTACAAAGCCCCACTTAAAAGGCTGAAAGTAAAATTTCTTTATTGATTTGGTCTCTTTTTCCATTTGAAAAACATTGATTTTTTTTTTCCTTGTGTTTTTAATGGAGCTTGAAATTAACATGAATCTGTTTGTTCAGATCCCTGTCTGAATTAGTGCAGTTTTAGTAATAAAGTTAGGTAGCTGTTACCTTGGAAACAGAGCTCTGTTTTAGAAAACATTTTAGCAAACATTGGAGCTAAAGAGAACAGAGTAGCAAAATCAAATTCCTCCGTAAGAGATTGGTGGGTGTTGGTATCAGCCAGTACCTTCAGCCCAGAGCATGCCGCCTGCCTGACGGCAATCCCATAAGAAGTGAGTTAACTCAGGGGCTCTGGCTATTTTACAGTGTTTCAGTTTTTGCAACGGCTCTCTTCTTCCCTTCTCCTCTGGTAGCGCGGTGGTGTCAGTCAGCATTAAGGATTCACAGCTCTTCACTATCCCTTAATTGCCGCACTAATCTGAACTCCTTGGCTTAGCTGTGAGATCCTCTAAAGGTGCAGAGGTTCCTGCGGCTCCCCAGCAGTGCAGTTGTAAAGGCACCGGGTACAGCTGTCATGGCAAGATGGCCACAGGGAAGCGGCAATTGGTTGCAGGGATATACTGCGCTGCCACAAACATGCAAGCTGGAACAGCGGCCTGCATACACAGAAATACGAGGCCTTGTCTTCTGCAGAACAGCAGGAGAGAGCCTCAAGACAAAAACGCTGTGTATGTGACAGTTCAGAGTGGTGGTACACACACAAGGTAGAATATACCTTTGCGTGTATACCTATACCACAAGCAAAACTGGAAAAAAAGTTATCCGTATACAACAATATCACTGCACAGAACAAAAGGTGAAGCAGACTGAGCGAGATGTGTTAGGCTCAAACACCTGAAAATTGCTCGATAAGGTTCATTTTTCTCAGTTTCTTTAGTTTTCAGTTCCATCCAAGTGGTGCACCAGGACAGGACTGTTGCCTTCCTCCCTCCTTTGAAAGATGAAGAGTTTTACAGAAAAGAACTGCAAACGGTAGAATTGTTTCTACACTTCCTTTAGAGGTACAATTCTTCCATGCTTGACTTTCTCTGACCATGAAGCTAACGTTATTTCAGCCACGTTTACTCAGATCCCAATTAAAAATAAATAAAAATAAAATGCTGCAGGAGAGATGAGAAGATGTTCTGCTGAGGCTTGTTCTTTTTAATTGTTTCTGTCTTCCAATATCACCTTCAAAAATAAAACCCCCAGCTCTGCAGAACGCCAACTGATTGCTTACTTGGGTACGTACATCCTTAGTGGGCAGGCAGCAGGACGACGAGGAACAAACGAGAATGCTCCCTGTAACCTCAGCATTAATGCACATAGCATAATAGACGGCTGGCCACTGCATTTGAAAAACAGTTCATGAAGCAAAGTAGAAATGATGGGTGTGCAGGATATAATTACAGCAGTAATGTAATAACATTCCATGTTAGATTATTAGGGGTCTATTCTGCCCTTGACATGCCTACATAACTTCCATTAACGTTAATTGAGGTTATGCACGTGAATCAGCAACTGAGCAAATCACTAAATTAATTACATGTAAAGTACCTGTTTCATTTTTTTAAATCCACCAATACGTTTGGCCTGTGCAAATGCTTATAGTCTAGGAGAGAACAACCACAGTGTGGAGGAGAAGCCATGTGGAAAAGGCCGTGTGGTTTTTAAAACCCCATTATACAAAATTAAGTTTTGATAAATAGGTAAAGGATAGTAGGAATACTAATTCCTGGACGGGGCTTCCTGCACATCCTTCAGAAACCCTGTGGCTTTGTTTGAATAAACTAGGAGAGACTCCTGCTCTTCTGCAGCACCTCCTGCAGAGGAGGTTATCTGGAGCTTTTATAAACAAAGGTGTAAAATGCCGGCTCTGCAGGCAAAGGCGGCACCTACTGTGAGTGCAGCCATGGGAGCAAGAGCAGGCTTGGACAAGGCACAGAGCTACTATTTTCTTCTGCTTGGCAATTGCAACCCCCACTTTCTGTCGAGGCACGCTTTGATCAAGCAGATGTGATGACAAGGATCAGTGTGACAACAAAGTCTCTGCATACAGTGGAAGAAGTTTGGGCTTGAAATTCAAAGCCCGTGTTTCACTGAAGGGTCTTACTCTGCACCTATCCTGGAGTCTGAAGGATGGACGTTGATCTACAACAAATGGAATCACTCTCCTCTCCCTCCTTCTTCCTTTGATTTTTGGTCTGAGTGCTGAGAGCTGCTGAATTTTCAGTACTCCTGAGCAGTTAAAACCAGATGCAAAGGAAATTAAAGTGCCTCCTGGAGGAAGGAGGGGAGCAGTAAATAACCTCCGTCACCTGCACCTCTAACCTGCCTTCTTGTGATACTATAATTATAGCAGAGCTAGGTCATCAGTCTTTTCCAGGAACTCCCTGGAATTCCCTTCTCAGTGAGCCAGGCTCTGGAAGGGATTCCCCCACCCATTCAGCAACCTGAGAAGGTCCGGATGGCCATAAAACCTCTGCACCTGTTTGTGTCCTCCACTGGGAGGGGGCACAACTGCCCCACGTTGAGGCTTCCTGAAATAGAGCAATATCCATGAAGCGACCAACAGAGACTCCCTCATTATAGATTAGAAAGGATGCCTGAGCTTTCAGACTTTTTATTTTGTGCGGGGTAAACAGCCTCTCTGGTTTCATCTGGACATGTCTTGAAAGAGCAGCTCTTGGAGTGGCTTTAGTTACAGTGAGCTCCACTGCCCCCACAGATGGCTGGTGGCCTGTTTCCCCACGTGTGCCTTGTGGCACTGGAGCATGCAAGCCATGCAAAGAGCCTTGGCTTCAAAGAGTTACGCTCATGGGCTCACTGCCTGTCTGACAGGCAAATGGGAACTTAAGTTTCACCTCAGACAGTGTAGACACAGCTGCTGAAGCAACGTGAAGCTAACCCTGGCCAGCTGCACTGCAGATGGTGTTGCCAGTTTAATTAGTAATAGCATTATTTTCTGTAATTTTAAACATATATTTATTAATACTCATTTATTTGCAATAAGATAAGGACTTTGAAGTCCCTTGTCATCACTGGGGTATATAAACAGGACCAATTGGAAGCATAAGCAAGGTGTGTAATCACCTGTGCTGATAGAAAAGGGATAGAGGTAAAATTTCAGCATTAAGGATGCATTAAGATGCTCTGGATGTCACTGCAGTGGACCTGGCCTGGTAGTGGCAATGACAGAGCTATTCCCACTGGCTCAATCTCTCCTCAGGAAAAGCAAGTAGAATCACAGAATCATAAAGTCATCAAGGTTGGAAAAGACCTCTAAAATCATCCAGTCCAACCATCCACCTATCACCAATTCTAAACCACATCCCTCAGTACAACATCTAAGCATTTCTGGAGCACAATGTAGGAGTGATGGCTTCACTGCCTCAGTGTCTGGTTTACCTCTCTCGCTCTCTCACAGATACAGACAAACAAGCTGTGCAGGAGGCATGCTTCCCAGGAGCTGGGAAATTAAGGTAGCACAGAATAAGGGTGTCTAGAGTTGGGCTGTGCTCTTCCCCTCTCTCTGCTCTCTAGCATGTGGCTCATTGTCCTGTTGGAACCAGCAAAGGTGGAGAAGTGGAGGGAGAAGGCTCCAAAGGAAAGGAATCTCATCAGCAGGACCATAGCAGCCAACAGTGTGACTTGGCAACCTGTGCTCAGTGCCTCACCATGCTCAAGAGATTGTGCATCAAACAATGGCTCTGGTACCATGGGCTGAACAAAGAGTGAGAGCAGGTGCTCTAAACCCAAGATGTCCAGACACCTGACACGTACCTGGCTGAGAACACGGGAGCCATCATGAGGAAAGGACTGGCCTCCACCTCACAGTGAAAAGGCCACCACAGAGAGAAGATGAGGGTACAAACAACAGATGGTTAGATGCCAAATAAGAATTTTGATGCGTAATTTCACAATTTCACATTTAATAATATTGATCTATGTATTTACTTGAGAAAACAAATAGCCTGTTCATCCCTTGGTTTTATCTGGTTAAGTTTACAGAGGTCTCCGAGAGGCATTTAAGGTTATTCATGTCATAATGGGCGAGCTTCATCACCTGATGTGCATGTAGATCCTGTTCCCACTGTAATTGAGATTCAGGGATATCAGAAAACGGAACTCACCTCCAGCAAGTCACAGAATCACAGAGAATCACAGAATGGCCAGGGTTGGAAGGGACCTCAAGAATCTCCAATCCCACCCCCCGCCACTGGCAGGGCCACCAACTTCCACATGTAATACTAGACCAGGCTGCCCAGGGCAGGCCTTGAACACCTCCAGGAACGGAGCATCCTTTATTCCTCCATCACCTCCTGCCTTTCTAAGGCATCATCTACATACACAGGCTCTGTGTAAGCACACTGGGGCTGATGGTTAAATATGCCTGTATCAAACACCCAGAAGCTGGAAATTTTACATTGTAATTCCACAACTACTGATTAACTGGCCCAAATTCTTCCCCGTTTTACTAGAAACTGCACATTATTGGGGTATCTCCTTTTGCATTACAGACTGTACTCCTAAATATTCTGTTCCAGCTTGCTTTCTTTAAAAAAGTTCTGGGCCGGGAGAGAAGTTGTAAATAACAAGAGGAAATATGGCAGCTCAGCAGCTGCACACAGAGACAGCCAAATCAAGGCAAAATTGCACGATTCAAGCGTTCGTTCAAGTGTTCACACTTAGAGGCAAAGAGAAGTGGGCCATACCTCCTTCACACCGGAGCTGTCGCTGAATTTAGGAGACGCTTTTCACATGATTAAATCAGCACCTCTGCGCACGGTGACTGCAACGTGTAAGGAGGCGGCTGTGCTAGAAAAGAGACGCTTTTCCCCCTTTTCCGCCGCGGGGCTCCGCGCTGCCTGAGCCGCGGCCGCCACCTGCTGCCCTGCCGCCGCGCTGCAGCCACCCGCCCTGCCCTGCCCGGCCGAGGGGCGGCCGCCAGCCCCAGCTCCCCGCCCGCGCTGAGGCAGGCGCGGCCGCCATGTCGGGCGGTGCCCCCAGCGTGCGTGTGGCGTGCGGGCACGGGCGGCGGCGGCGGGCTGCTCTGAGGGGCCCTGGTGGGCGGGAAACGGCCTGAGGAGCGGGCGGATTTTTATGAGAGGGGAATGTGTTTGTCCAAGCACAAGTTGCAGTCAAGGAGAGGCGAGGACCGGGGTTCTCTGTCTTCAGAGGCAGACAAGGGTTTAACAGGGACAAGCATGGCCACTGAGAAGGAACATCACTCACCACCGCCCAGAAACCTGAGGGAGGCAGGTGCTGCTGCCATGTTGAGGTGCTCAGGCTGTGCCATGCTCCAGGCTCAGACCCCTTCCCGAGCTTCCCAGCCACCCTCTCCTCTGCTCTATGCTCTGTGTGCTGCAGCCCCCAGCACACGTCCCCTTGCTGTCCCAGCAGTCCCCTGTCTGCCCATATGCAGGGATGTGATCTTGGAGCTCAGGAGTGCTCTGGTGCTGGGTAGCCTGTGGTCTCCTGCCGTCAGTCTGGCATTTTCATAGCAAATCCCATGAAAGGTTGAGCCAGCTGAAGCAAAGCAAAATCTTGCTCTGGTATTTGTCAGCTGATTTTAGCTTGTGAATTAAGCCCGCAAGTGAGAGACTCTCCTGAGGGTCTTTGAGCAAGAAATGCCTGATACAAGGCAAATAGTGCTAACATATGGTTAGGAGTAACTGGCATATGCCAGAATCCCTGCCACATTCTTTTTTCACCTACCCTTACCTTTCTTACTGTTCATTCCACTTCGCTTTGCTTGTTAAGTGTTACTGATGTTCATTTCACAGACAAATCCCAGACTGATGTAAATCACACCACATCACTGCAATGCCCTCTCACATCCTTTCTCTTTAAATAGTGTAGCCACAAAGTGCTGTCTGGCATTTCCAAATAGACGTCAGTCCTCTTGAGATGGGGATTTACTTCTCCACTTTTTGGCATACTAAGTCAATGACAGATAATGACTGTCGCAGCAATTAAACAGTACGCATAGGTTGTAATGATTCAGTGACTTTGAGCCAGAGCATGGCAAGAGGCAAGTTGAGGACTGAAGTTTTACTCACCAAGGATCTTCCTTGGAAATGAAGTAGAAGGATTTAAATGGTTTTGCCTATCACTGCTTTGTTCATAAAAACAGCAGCTAGGGTACAGTCCTGTGGGTTTTAGAAAAATGAAATAAGGCTTAGCAGAATTCTTCCTTGGTTAGAAAATATTTATTCCTCTGTATCTGCATTGATTACCTTTAGGTATGAACAGCAACGCCACTCTTATCCTTCAAATGTTCGTTCTAGTCAATAGCAAAATTAATTTGTATACCAACAAATCACAGCTATCCAGGAGAGCAATGAGCTCAGTATATAATAGAGATGAGAGTTTTGGCAAAAGGGAGAGTGTAGAAACAGCCCTGCTTATAAGAATTATTGATAAAAGAATTATATCTTTATAGAATCCAATTCTGTATCTTGAAGCATTTTATACACTTAGTCTTCAGTGAAAGCAGCAACCATCTGAATGACTGCTGTTTGGTGAAGAAAATTGATTTTAAAATATCTGATTTCGTTCATGATTTTAATTTATTTATTTATTCATTCATTTGGTACTAAAGTAGCACCCAGAGTCTGTAGCACAGATGCAGGCTCCTCTGTGGTAAGCACTGGGTAAACCTGCACCAAAGGACTGTGGCCCTTTACAGCCATCACCCAGGATCTGGTTTCTAAAGCACACAGCTCAAAGAGATGTATGTATTTATATATTATCAAATGATTGCTCTAAAGCTGATGCCTGAGATAAAAGCATCTATATTTAGTCTCAGTAGGCTCTCAAGAACCAAAAAGTACCTTAAGCAAGCTCAGTAACCACACATAGAAGGCTGATTCGCTTAAAATCCAAATCCAGCCTTGAGCTGCTAGTGTTACAGGCACAATGAATCTGAGCAGCTCACAGTAGGAAAAGAATTGTTATAGAGGGTATATAGAGGGTATGGGAAAGGTGTATAGAGGGTTATGGGAAAGGTGTATAGAGGGTATGGGAAAGGTGACATGCCATCCACATGCCAGACATGCCTTTCAGACTCTGCCTGTACTAACTGAAAGTTGGGAGGAAACAAGGAAATGCTGGCAGTTTGCAGGGGTGGGATAGGTTCCCAATACCTTACCTGACTGAATTTAAGAAACAGGCTGGTATGGCAAACACTCACTGGTTCTTCTCCAGTGGTGCAGTGAGCAGGCAACTTTCCCTCCCTGCGGGCAGCATCTGCTGAGTGATGTGGAGCACAGGAGCTGCAGAAGGGAGGAACAACTAAAGAGCCAGTACCGCAAGAGGCACAAAGAAAGATGCACTGGGACTCTCACAATCCAGAAGACTTTACACCATTTTGAAGTAGGTAAGTTGGACACAGAAGTGGTAGGAAAAAAAGTTTTATTCTCCTGATATAGCGCATGTGGAATTGCCAATGCAGGAAAATAAGATGTTGAGAAACAACATTACCACCAATCACAAATGTGACATTGCCAAATTTTTGGCTGCTCTAAACCAGCACAGCTACCCTGAGTTACATAAACCAGCAGCTGGGTCAGGAACTAAACCTTAAATCAGGGAAGCCGGAAAATTCTGGGAATGCAGACATTTCATCGTGCCTCACGCCATCCGTCTTTTGTTAAACTTTTTTTTTTCCTTTTTTTTTTTTTTTTTTACATTTGCCCAGAAAACATGCCAGCGTGTCTTTCACAGCACTCTGATGAAGAAAATTCAAGCTGCTCTGCCTGATATTAAAAGAAGTAGCTTTTGGTAGTATTTGGATGCTGTCCAATTGCTAAACTGTAAAGTGCAGTACGTAGCACAAGCACAGCTTGAAGGGTAAGCAGCAAAAGACAGATGAAAATGAAAGTTATCAACAGGAATAAAAGAACATGCAAGCAGAAAGCAGCAGGAGAAATACACAGTGTCTAAGAATGGAGAGAAATGCTTTAACGTGCTTTAACAGTGGTATTAGAGATTTAAACACAACCACACAATGAAGTTCAGTATTAGCACCATGATGAACTGGAAGTGGAAGAACGAGCTTTGGAGTGAATAGAAGCATAGCATGTGGCCAAATGTGTGATGATGTGCAAATTGAGAGTCTCCTCACCTGAAACATGTTAGATGCTGAAGAACAATGCTAGCCACTTAGTCGAGTGATGAAATCAAAGTTGCAACATGTAAGATTAATGTATATTAGAGGAAATAGCTTCTCATGCTGTTAGAAAGATCATGGTCTGGTTATAAAGCACTCAGTGGTGCAATCTCCAAGTATTTATCATTCCAACACATCCAATTAACAAAATGGTATTCAAGTGTTAGTAATTAAGTGCAGGATAGTAACCTTAAGCTTTTAATTTCCCCAGATATTGTCAGTTTGAATCTGACTCTTGGCATTATGATAGCGTGTTTTCACTTTTAAAAGGAATGATAAGGTCCTAGGAATATCACATCAGCCTTCATAATGAGGGAACCATAAAAACAGGGCTGGAAGGGACCTTGCGAGGTCACCTAGTCCAGCCCTCTGCCCTAAGGCAAGATCAATTATACCCAAATCATTTCTGACAGATGTTTGTCTAACCTGTTCATAAAAACGTCTAGCAATGAAGATCCCACAACCTCCCCAGGCAATCCATTTCACTCCTTCACTCCAGTTACAGCTGGAAAGCCTGTCCTAATGTCTTCCTTAAATTCTCCTTTGCTGCCATTTAAACCATTAGCTCTTTTTCTATTCCCGGTGGACACAGAGAACAGTTTATTACTTTCCTCTTTGCAGCAAGCTTTACATATCTGTGTCACGTTCTTACTCCTTCCTCGGCATCTCCTTTTTCTAGATGTAGAAACCCAGTTCTTTCAGTCTATCCCCACAAATCATGTTTTCTACGCTTGTGATCAATGCCATTACTTTCTGTTGGGCATTCAAATTGATCTCCATCTTTCATTTTTCAAGTACAGTGTACAGAAGTGCACACATTACTCCAGCTAGGGTCTGGAGCAAAGAATAACCAGGGTAGGATTGCTTCATTTTTCTTCTCCGTGACAAGTCATTTACAGAGCCAAGTCACAAGTCACAATCTGGATGAAATGGGAACTGTATCTTCTCAGCTCCAGCTTGGCTTGTTGTCTAGAAAGAAAGTTCCATCTCTATTTATCTTATACAATCTTGAAACATTTTACAAGGGACCAAGTATTTTTATTTTCTGCTCTAGAGGCTGATGAATGTCACCTTCCTCCACTTTTTATTTTTATGATATTTATACTAATTTGGCATGATTAAAAATTAATACTGGAATACTCACTAGCTTAAAGGAGCAAGTCTTCTAACTCCCATCAAACTTGAATGCACAAACTCCACAGGTGCCTTTGAAAATCCCTGCTCTGAATGTTGTTTTCTATTGGATAAACAACTCAGACATCACTGGCTTTCTACACAAACGCAGCCTGCCTGGAATAACTTACGAAAATCATAAAATTGATTTAAGCTCTGTTCAGTGCCCCATAAATTTTATGCAGTCCTTAAATTATAAAACTGCTGCTGCTGTGGCACTGATCAGAACAATGCTTTATCTCTTCTCTAGGGATAGTTGGCATGTCAGAGGAGAACAGAAGAGACCGAGGCAGCTGAATTGTTTGTTTCTATTTAACAGGGCAGAATAAAACAGCCTGGATGCCAGGGCTCTAGTTCCACTGAGACTGACCGCATCAAGTTTTTATATATAATAGCTATTATAGTCTTCCTTTGCCTTTTCTTATTATTAAACCAGAAAATAGCTGTCGCTGATTTCACAAGGACACTTTTTTGCCTACATCATCAGATTTGTGGAGGACAA